TTACACTGGATATGGGGTGTGTGGATGGAGCTGTGGGTGGTGCAGCGCAAGCCACACATTGTCCCTCTGTAAGCCCAGGCGTCCTGTGGCTGTCCCCGTGGAGGCTGCAGTGACAGGCAAATCCGAAACCGGATGCCGGCAACCATTTCACGCGGAAGTACCATTACATAGTCGAGCAGGTGAGCGTGACCACTCTCCGTGGGTGCGTCCAAGTTGCGATATCACTCGAACTCAATGCAAACCGAGTGTTCCCGATCGTTAGGCCGTGAGTGGCACACGGTGCGAGCAGTCTGCCACCGTTCGCATTCGCTGAACCAATATCATGCGGGGCGATAACATCTGTCCATTCCGAGACAACAGGCCTGACAATCAATCAACAGCAACAACAGCAGTACATCAGCCATTTGAACTGATGCTTCGCTGCCATACAACCATGAGGACCTATGAAGTAAAGAATAAGAGGGAGAGAAGGATGACTTACCTGAAAACCTTAATACCCTAAGCAAACACTCAGGATTAAGGCGCCTACACTTTGTGTTAACAACATACCGTCACAAACAGCTGGCTATCGTACAAAGATAAGGAGGCATGGGCGAGGCAGCTTCCTTGCGGCTTTCACTGCCCCGCGTCATAATCAGACATAACCCCGCAGATAGTTTAACACCAAACACATTTTAAACAGACAGTCCGACTACGAGACGACAGCAGACGCGCAACTGGAGTCGACTGCGAACCATGTCATGTAACGTCTCAAGCCTAGCACTAGGCGGATCGTGTGGACTCCAGCCCAGAAGGCGAGACGACCGACGGTGCCCATTTGGGTCGGCAGTGACTTATTTCCCGCTATCAAGTTAATTTTTGCCAGTCTTGAGCCATGCGCCATCCTACATCTGGCAACCAAAACAAGGCCCTCCTCGGTAAGCGGTGTATGTATGTATGTATGTAATCTCAACAGTCTATTAACTAGACATAGAGCCAGCATAAAACCATGGAGATCAGCATCGGTGACCGGCACACGTAGTAGGTGCCCAAGCCAATGCAACTTTTTCAGTGCTATCTGTTGTTCTAAGGAAATAACCGGGTTAGCACCGCCACGTACTCGCTTACGCACATTATTGTTGCGGACACACTGGCGCCACCTGATACTAGTAATGCATCGCAGACAACGAGAATCAAAGAGTTGAAGGCACCACAGGTCCTTAGATCCGATGGGCCAAGTCGCGCTTCCATGGAGTAGGACGGCCCTCACTGTGACATTATATAAACGGTTTGTTAGACAGGGAAACCCCTTTCTGACACCAAAGATGTCGCAGATACAAAAAAAGCTGTTTTTAGCTTTTGCAATACGTGAATTGACTTCAGCTGCTATGCGTCCGTCATTGAAGATACAGCTGCCAAGAGAGGTGAAGTGATCAAGTACCTCGAGTTCCTCGTCATCAAGGGGTCGTGGAGTAACTGGTAGTAATGCAACAACAGTTTGCACTTTGATTATCGCTTCGTAGTGAGGCGAGGAAGGAGAATCGAGGAACGTAATTTCGTCACCACCGGCATTAGGCTAATACTCATGTGATTAGTACAGTCGATGCGATTGCCCTTCTTGTACAGTGCTACTATGAATGATTCACTATAGTTAGCTGGGATGGTTTCTGTCTTCCAGTCCGGATCGAACAGGGAGGTATGTGCTTTGCAGAGGACCTCACCTCCATCCCTAAATAGTGTGGGTGGGCGCGAATCCGGGTTAGCAGCACGAAAACGATTAAGGGCCACGATCGCGTTTCCGACCTCAGCCTCCGACGGCGTTATAATCTTCTCACTAGACACGATTCCGAAATTGACACTACTGCCCCACAAAACATCTAGCCCAACCGAAGAAAAAAGCAGAACAACTATGACCTTGACAAAATAACGCACTAACCGCCGTCAACGAACACTATACAACTACTGCGGACGTTGGCTGTATTTATAGGTCTCTTATGACCCTTCGACTGGAATTGGAAGGTCAGCTACCAAGAATAGTGGTTCCCCATAGCTTTGGCCGAGATGTCAGGTGGTTTGTAATCACGTGCAAAACTTAGAACATTACGGAACGTTCGAACTCGATGCGATAATCGTTAATAGTCGATTAAGCGCTAAATACTGGATTTTTCCAGACAATTCTCACTGTCTCCCGGACAGACGAAGTATCTAAACTAACTGGCCACGGCTCAGCTTGCAAGACCTGAAATATAAGACCAGAAATATAAGGACAACTGAACTGCTCTCGAAAGTGCTCCACCCAACGAGCCATACGGTGCTTCTTATTGTGAATCAGGGCAATAGCGCTGTCTCTGTTTCGCTGACATTTGGTTTCTTGAAAACAGTGGTGCGGATCAGCTGGAAGGGTTTTCGATAACGGCGCACTGCTCCTGCTTCCTCCATTTCTTGAGCCCGACTAGTAAACCAGACTTCCTTGTCGGCACGCAGGCTCTGCTTTAGTTCGCGCTTAATAGTCCGCCCGGTCACAGAGGAAGTCGGGAGATTTCTTCTGGATCCCAATAGGTTCAACAACCTCTCGGATATCCAGTGACTGATGCAGTGATGATTGACAGTTCCGCAAGCAGAGGCTCCTGCATTTTGCATGGCGGCCGAGTTCATATTCCACTGAGGCTCAATGTCATTTGGACAAGAGAGCGAAAGTTCGGTACGCAGTGAATCTTGGTAGGCTTGCCTGACCGAGGGTTGAGATAACTTCTCAGCTGCCAATCGAGGGAGGCGATTGGTACGCGTCCCGGTAAAAATCATGGAAAAACGACAGGGTACCAGGGCATGATCAAAGTCGATGCAAATAATCCAGAACCAGCGACAATCCAGGATGGAACCACGCCACCTGTAACTTACGGCAACGCGAGCTATTTGGCTCCATAGCTCGTCAGCTACAGGACGCCAATTGGCACTTCGGCGCCCACTGTCTAAAAACAGTACTACTAAGAAACAACCGGTGCTCTGCACACAGCTGTAACAGACGCTTGCCGTTGTCCGTACGTTCGGAGTTAAGCCCATACTTGCCACCTAGCAAAGCTTCTGAATAGCTCAAACGACATAGTTGCGCATTCCTACCCCCTGCAAGAACTAAGATTTCTGAACTGCTAACATTTTGTAGCAGCGTGTTCAGTTCGTAGTAGGAAGCGTCCTTTGCAGCACCAGAGCTACAATCGGTGGGTGCATTAGCCGAAATCACAAACAACGTCTAGTGCTACTTTGTGAATCAACCTTAGTCTATGTCATCAAACGAACTGCACACAAACGGTTGCTGACGGGGATCCAAGAAACCAACGATGTCTCAGCCTTGGAGCTGGGAACAATGCCCACGCCAGCTTAACCAATGGCTGCCGCAGCAGCGTCTTCAAATGCGTGCAACCAATGGCGAGGGGACAAATCGGCTGCAGTTAATTCAGCAACCACGTGAGCGTCATTGATCCTAGTTTCGGACACACAACACACGTCAATACCTAGCGTGTCTAACGTGCGTGCGAGTGCCGCCTGTTGACCTATTTGTCTTAGAGTGGGAACATTGAACTCCACCAGGGAAACGGGGCAGTGTGGTCTTATAAGGGGCGGTTGGCGATTGGCGTCCAGTGGGTGGTGCGGGAATGTAGCTGGAAATGGTGGAACTGCAGTGGCATTGCGGCTGCTGTCAATTACGTTGCGAATTATAGAAGGATGGGTCGGGGGAGCAATAGAAAAAGGGTGGCGTCAGCTTTAACATGTTTTCGCTCATCCGCTCTGCGGTATGCAGATAAGCTGCGCCACGGCCGATGCAGGATATGGTGGAAATTTGAAGTAGTCATGGTTGTACAAGGATTGAGATACTGTCGGGGTGCCCAGACCTAGACAGGAAGACGATTAGGGTCCTCAAGGAAAGCTTGTCCGCAAGGCAGCAAATGTGGCTACGATTCGGCGTTATAGAACTGGACACCATCCCAGATTAAGAGACATGGTTGGCGGCATCCGGTTTCGGATTTGCTTGTCACTGTAGCCAGCCACATGACGCCTGCGCCTACAGAGGGACCATGGGTGGCTTGCGCTGCACCACCCACAGCTCCATCCACACACCCCATATCCAGTGTAAACCCGAAGGAATAAGACCGGGAGGCATGTGGATTGGAGCCATGTTTCATCAACGGAGCCGGCCCACACTCCTTCACAGACAAACACAAACACGCTGCATTTGGGAAATCAAGCGCACACAAGGCGGTGGTTGGACCGTAGTCCGCTCCACACTGAGTGCATGGAAGCGCTCTTCGAGCCTAGCACGGCCACAAGGACCGTGCACCCCGTCCCCTCCAGGAACGGCCAACTGTCTGCTGGAGCCAGTATGAACGAGGTAGTGGGTAATAGACATGTAGGCACCTTGTCAAAATGCACATCAAGCGCAGCCACAACAGGGATATCAAGCAACAGCCAGTCAACTGGAACGACATGAAATAAAATAAATCCAACAATGCATACAGATACGGTGGCATAACTCTTCGCTAAATTACCATATGAAGTAAGTTGGTTAGCAGCGAATTCGCGATAAATAAGAAATGCCCACAAGTTAGTTAAAAATGCTACAAACGCAACAAAGTTATCGAAGATGAGCTTAATTAGTGTAAGCAACGTGGCCAGTTAATAGAAGATTATTCAGGTAGGCAGAACAAAGCAAATAAAGTGGAATGAAATTTATCCAGCTTAACAAGACCTAGTTTAAGTGTAAGTTGGTTTAGCCCAACTGAGGTGAAGAAGCATCAAGCATGCAACATCAGCCTCAGCATGGGGCACATATATGCATATATACGCATATACATACATCGGACAGGAGTATTTAGCAACTCAGATTATTAACGACGGAGTATAAATCAAGATGTTCATTGGTGGAAACTAACGGGCTGAAATACTTAGGTTGATGGGTGAGTGAAGACGTATTTCAGACTCACGATGGAAACAAATAAAAGCTAGGAAGATCGAGTTAAGCAACTTACTTGAGCTCAATTAGGACTGGACTGGAAAACTGTGGAAAGCGACTGAAGACCGAAGCAGAAACGGCTGTTCCAGTCTCGATAAGTATTTTCGTGAACAACACTCTGAAAGGTGAGAGGCGAGCACAATTACCAATCACGATCAACGATAAAAGAAGTGATTGTGTCCGCAAGACAAAACGTGGGGAAAATGTGTGCGAGAAATCACACTGTAAACGTTGAACATTTGTCGGTTACATCCGTAATGTATTCCAGTAGGTCACATAATCGTTGCGGACACTCTGGTGCCATCTGACACCAACAATACTATGCAGAGAACAATTGTCATATACTCTAATGTACCTCAGATTCTCAGGCAGAAGAGGTCAAGCCACAGTGTCATAGAGGACGGGTTCCACTGTGGCCCCGTAAACACAATCTTGGAGAGACAGACAAGTCTTCTCATAGCACCAAAGACCCTGCAGGTTTATGGAGCCAGCTTTAGCTCTGACAAAACGCGAGCTGATAGCATCAATCACGCACCCGTCGGCGATAACGAAATTTCCGGCCAACTAGCGGTTGTACAGAAAAAGGATTGTTTTATGGAAGTACAGGATAAGTAAAATGTTAATATAGCTGACGGGAACATTTTTTCGTGTAAGTAAGTCGAATGGGGCTGAGTGGTTTACCGGATCGAACATACTCTTGTGGTTGAGGAATACAGTCATAGCGCATCTGTCGTATGTAAGGCGAAGCTCTGACACTTAGTTCGGAGTAAAAAGATGATCTATACGACGTCGTTCGGTTAGTAACATGCCTGTTCTTATCTCTTCTGTGATCCCCGTTTTGCCACAGGGCTGCGGCCAAGAAAAAACTTGTAGCGTCTGCACAAGTAATCTATCTAAGTCAACTGCGGTGAAGCGATCATAACGGGAATATTCAGGATTTGGAGACACCGTCGGTCGACTTCATGGGCATTGGTTTGATGCTAGTAGTGGCTCCCAGTCAAATCAATGGGTATCCACAATGACAGGTCAGGTACACTTTTGGTCCTAACTTGACTTTGTTAAACACACCTTCACTCTGCAGAGTGTGATGAAACAGCGCCAAATTTAATACAATTGCAATATAGATGTGTTTCCCAGTTTCAATGCGAGTTTGACTCAGTCAACCGTTCCATCGCATTCGATCCGATTCTCTTGTAACATGTTTTCACAGAATCTGTGAACACTTTGCGTGCCGGTCGGCCGCGTCACGATTCATGTCAAGCACCTCATGATGTCTACCAAGCTGCCTCACGCTGCTATTTTAATCCACACTCGTGAACTCCATGAATCGAGATTCTCACGCGGCGCAGATAGTGGGAACGGGTTGATCCGAATTATGGAGAGGACATGAGTTTGCTGTTCGATGGTCTGAAGCATGTCAATCTACTACTGTCAAACATGCCGGAGCGGCCAATATTTGGACCTGTGTACTGCTCGCGCTCAAAGTGCAGATTGTCGTTGAAGAATAATCAGTCAGCTGCGTGCCATTCGAAATTTCAACAAGAATTAGAAACATTTGAGTGTCGCTCTTCCCAGCACTAGCAACACCCAAATATTTCCATTCAGCATACGGTCTTCGAGATCGGAATGACCGAGGTTTACCTCAAAGTGAGCCGAGGTCTCAATAGAGGTTACGAGTCGTAACGCAACCACACAGCGTGCTCCCTAAATTCAGTTTTGAAGAATCAGAAACATTTGACGGATTCGTTTATCTTGGTAGTTACACCGATAATGGGTGTGAGAAAATGTAAACTGCTTCACGTAGTCCGACAACGGGAACTAGTTGCATGAATCTGGAATGCCTCAGAGGCACATTTCCACTGGGGTGCAGGGTGACGTGCAAGTGAACTCGTTGAATGTAATGGGGCACTTTTCATTCTATCGGAAGAGAATAGGAGTCTCTAGATCTTTGAACCCAGTTGTACATAGAATACTATTCCAATTGAGTAAAACCAACGAATCCTCAACAAAAAGGTGCACAGGTTGGCACTAAGCACCGATGAGTAGATTAGCACACTGGTGTTGTATCCGGAACACTGATGCGGCGCAGAGTTGTCCGCACAGCGTATTAACCGAACGTCAAATAAAGATGATAAAAGCAAAACAGCTAACAATATAAGCCCCATCGCACGATAAACGTCCTCAACCACATGTTCCTTGCTTACCCGGATAAGCACATCCAATATACGGATGCCAGGCTTCATTTCTCACAAAGCCGACGCGAGTAAACACAGTCAAAAGTGCAGCGGCATATTCACGAACGCAAGCAACACAACTACGCACATACATACCTGGTGGACGGCATCCGGCTCTGGAGTTGCCTGTCACTGCGGCCTCCAGGAGAAGCCACAGGACGCCTGCACCTATAGAGGAACCGTGGGTGGTTTGGGCTGAACCAACCACACCCCATATCCAGCGAAAACCCGAAGGAAAAAGACAAGGAGGCATATAGATGAGAGCCAGGTTTCATCAACGGAGCGGGCCCACACTCCTTCACAGGCAAACAGAAACACGCTGCATTTGGAGAAGCAAGTGCACACAAGGCGGTGGCTGAACCGTAGTCCGCTCCACAATGAGTGCATGCAACCACTCTTCGAGCCTAGCATGGCCACGGGGACCGCGCACGCCGTCCCCTCCAGCAAAGATCAACTGTCTCCTGGAGCCAGTATGAACGAGGTAGTGGGACATCATCATCAACAGCAGTACATCAGCCATTTGAACTGATGCTTCGCTGCCATACAACCATGAGGACCTATGAAGTAAAGAATAAGAGGGAGAGAAGAGGGACTTACCTGAAAACCTTAATGCCCTAATCAAACATTCAGGGTCAAGGCGCCTACACCTTGTGTAGACAACATACCGTCACAAACAGCTGGCTATCGTGCAAAAATAAGGCGGCATCGGCGAGACAGCTTCCTTGCGGCTTTCACTGCCACGCGTCAGAATCAGCCATCAAGCCGCAGATAACTCAGCACCAAACACACTTTAAACAGGCAATCCGATTAGAAGACGGCAGCAGACGCGCCACTGGTGTCGGTTGCGAGCCATGTCCTGTAAAGTCTCGAGCCAAGCACAAGGCGAGTCACGTGGACTCCAGCCCGGAAGACGAGAAGGACCAACGGCACCCAGTTTGGTCGTCAGTGACTTCATTTCCCGCTGCCAAGTTAACATCTGTCCACCTCCAGCCTTGCGCCACCCTACACCTGGCAGACTGAACAACGCCCTCCTAGGTAAGCGGTGACCAGGCATACGTAGCACGTGCCCGAACCAACGCAACTTATTCAGTGCTATCTGTTGTTCTAAGGAGCTAGCATGATTATCACTACCTAGTACTCGCCTACGAATATCATCGTTGCGGACACGCTGGTGCCACCCGACACCAGCAATGCTTCGCAGACAACGATGATCAAAGACTTGAAGGCGCCTCAGATCTTCAGACCGAAGGGGCCAAGTCTCACTATCATAGAGCAGAACGGCCCTCACTGTGGCCATTCAGGTGAAGGGAAAATCCCTTCTGTCGCCAAAGATGCCGCAGGTTCAAGAAGGTAGCTCTGGCTTTTGCAATGCGTGGGCTGACGTCAGTTTTCATGCGTCCATCATTACTGATGCAGATGCCAAGAGAGGTGAAATGATCAATCATCTCGAGTTCCTCGTTAGCAAGCGTCAATGGGTCATCAAGTGGCTGATGGTCCTGCAGCAACACTTTGAATTTTGAAGGTGCGGAGTGCATACCAAATAATGGGACCACTCTGGACAGGCTATTCAGGGTTGGTTGTGCGGCCCCAACACGGTCGAAAAGCAAGACGATATCGTCCGCATACTCTAGATCAACTAACCTTTCACCAGGCAGCACTTCAACACCTACATCGTGAGATTCCGAAAGGGAACACTCCATGATAGAATCCACGACGAAATTGAACAAAAATGGGGAAATCGGACAACCCTGACGAACGCCACTTGTGATCGGAAAGCTATCCGATAGGACACCGTAGATCCTGACACGGCCTGTAGTGTTCGAGTATAGAGCACGAAGGATGTTCACATATCTCGTGGGAACACCATTCCGCGCAAGTATTTCGAACAGAATCGATCGATCGACCGAATCGAACGCACTCTTGAAATCGAAGAACACAGCTATTGTCGGTCTGCGGTATACGTGGCGCTGCTCTAGCACCTGCCGCAAAGTGAATATATGGTCTATAAAGCCACGTACTGGGCGGAAACCAGCCTGCTCTTCCCTAATCCGAGATTCCCGTCCCGCAGTGAGGCGACGAACGATAATCGAGGCCAATAATCTTGTCACAATTGGCGTTAGGATAATACCCCTGTGGTTAGAACAGTCTGTGCGACTGTCCTTCTTGTATATTGCCATTGTAATCGATTCGCTTCAATTAGCCGGGACGCTCTCTTCTTTCCAGATACATTCGAATAAGGTCAGTGCTTTGCGGAAGACCTCACCATCCTTAAATAGTGCAGGTGGGAGGGAATCCGGGCCAGCGGCACGAAAAGGATTGAGGGCTGTAATCGCGTTTCGGACCTCGGTCTCCGACGGAGGCTCTAAACTAACCGTCCATGGCTCGTCTTGCATCACCTGAGTAGGAAGAGGTCCGGGAGCAGGGGGCCAACTGAACTGATCTTGAAAGTGTTCCGCCCAATGAGCCATACGGCGCTCCTTATTGTGTATCAGCGCACCTGCGCTGTCTCTGATTCTCACTGACACCTGGTTTCCTGGGACCAGTGGTGCGGATTAGCTGGAAGAGCTTCCGGTAATTGCCTACTGCTCCTGCCTCCTCCATTTCTTGAGCCCGACTGGTCCCCCAGGCTTCCTTGTCAGCACGCAGGCTCTGCTTTAGTTCACGCCTAATAGTCCGTCTGGTCACATTGTGTTCAGAGCCAGCCGGAAGGTGGCTTCTAAATTCCAACAGGTTCACCGACCTCTCGGATATCCAGTGACTGGTGCGGTGACGATTGATAGTGCCACAAGCACGCTTGGTGCGCCTCCCGATAAAGTTCATGGAGAAACGACAGCGTACCAAGGCATGATCAGAGTCGACACAGGTACTCCTGTACGAGCGGCAATCCAGGATGGAACAATGCCATCTGTAACTTATGGCTATGTGGTCAATCTAGGTCCATCGCTGGCCAGCTACAGGAGGAGGTCAAGTGGCACTTCGACGACTGTGCCTAAAAGCAGTGCTACTAAGCAACAACTGGTGCTCCGCACACGGTTGCAGCAGACGCTCACCGTTGTCAGTCCGCTCGGAGTTAAGTCCACATTTACCACCTAGCTGAGCTTCTGAAGAGCTCAGACACCTTAGTTGTGCGTTCAAATCCCCTGTAAGTACTATAATATCTGAACTGGTGGCACTGCGTAACAGCGCATTCAGTTCGTGATAGTATGTGTCCTTGACATTATTTGAACTGCAGTCGGTGGGAGCATAAGCGGAAATCACAAACAAACAGCGTTTTGCATTACTTCGTGAATCAGCCTTAGCTGATGTCGCCAAACGGGCTGCACATAAACGGCTGTTCATCGGAATCCAAGCAACCAACAATGGCTCAGCCTTGGAGCTTACAATGATACCTACACCAGCTTGACCAGTGAGTGCTGCATCGGCGTCTCCGGATGCGTGCAACCAATAACGAGAGGATAAGCCGGGTGCAGTTAATTCAATAACCCCATCAGGGTCATTGATCCTAGTTTCGGACACACAATACACATCAACAACCAGTGTGTCCAAGATGCGTGCGAGTGCAGCCTGTTGACCTGTTTGTCTTAGAGTGCGAACGTTGAATGTCGCCATGGAAACGGGATAGCGTGGCCTTATAAGGGACTTTTGCCGATAGGTGTGGTGGGATGGTGTCTGAAGATGGTTCTAGTCCAGTGGCACTTCGGTTGCTGTCAGTTAGGCTGGGAATTATAGAAGGAAGGTTAGTAATGGGGGTGGGGATGGGAGTAAGAGAAAAAGGTGGAAAAGAAAGAAGAGAGGCGCCAGCAGTAGCATGTTTTCGCTTATCCGCCCTGATGTATGCAGCAGATAAGGCGACCCTTGATAATCTGCGCGACGGCCGATGCAGGACGAAGTTTACGTTTGAAGAAAATGTCATGGTTGTATGTGGGCTGGGATACTGCCAGGGCGCCCAGACCTAGAGAAGAGGACGATTAGGGTCCTCATCCAAAGTCTTTGGCACAAAAGCCTGTCCGCAAGGCAGCGGGGAGTTGGCAATGATTTAGTTTTACAGAAATGGACGCCATCCCATTTCAAACCCCCAACCTGGAGGACCAGGAGACTGAGTTTGCCTGACCTTTCACCATAGACCAACGTGGTAGGAGTAGCTCTCAAGGTGCCCGGAGGCATCAACCAGTATAGCTCAATGGATCAATGAGGTAAGCAAACCGCCGCACCAAGTTAAGGTTCAGTCTCGTTGCGACGGGTAGTGGGTAATAGACAGGTAGGAACCTTGTCAACATGCACATTAAGCACAGCCACACCGGGGATGTCAATCAATAGCCAATCACTTGAATTGACGAGATCGAATAAAATAAATCGAATAAAGCATACGGATATGCGGTATAGTATGGATGTAGGAAACAACGTGTGCGCTGTAGTCAAGCTCAGGTTACACGTCACAACATATGTTTGCGTTAAAGTTTCTGAAGGAACGACGCTTCGTAGCACTGCTTGGTGGTTAGGGTTTATGGGTGACTTAACGAAAATGACCAATAAAAATAAGACGTTCCTGGCTTGAAATACGAATAATATGAATTGAAATAAAAAAATTCACAAAAATCTGCAGACCAGTAGAAACGAAAAACAAGGAAAATACTGGCAAGCAATGGTCGTAGGGGCGACCCAAATGCCACTCCATCTATCTGTCTATAATAATATCCTTCAAACATGAATTGCCTGTCGAAATTACATGTGAGACCAGTCCCTTTAACTGATGTACTGGGAAACTGTCACGTTTCACAAACAGAAGTTGAATAAACTCACCCGTGAGGAAGTCCGACATATTGATGCACAAAATTCGAATGGAGTTGAAGCGAGCGAAAGATGTCGAGAACTGGACTGTGAAGCTTTCAAGACCTGCAACCGCAATGCAACCTGTGTGTGGGGGAGGGGGGCGGGCATAAAACCAATGATGTTCATAAGATGAACTGCCCATGTGGGTTTGTCATACGATAAATGGATTGTGAAGTATTGGACATGGTAGACCGACTTAAGCTAGTGTTCGCAGAATCCCAAAGCTGAGAAGTCTCGCAATACTGTACTGTTCGGCCAGTCACGAAAAAGTAAAATAAGTGGTGCGTTTCAGTAAACTACACAGTAGAAGATTAAGCGCAGCACACCATAGGATGGTCTATAGTGACACGTTGGTAAGCTTGCTGGAAAGTAAGCTAGGAACATATTTAATATACTCGTATTTTTTGGGCCCAGTGTTCCATAAGCCAGGCAAACCGTCAAATGGGGAGGCGACCAGTCCCCAGCCGCATACTCGAATACGACAGATCGTAATTGGCATGAGCAGATATCACCTGTCCATTAACTAATTTCGGGCAATTGGGAAGGTGGATAGGAGAAAGAAACAAAAACTCACATGTCGTTGATCCAGACAGCACGAAACGCAATGTTCATAGATACCGCAACAATGGTCGGCATTGCATTGGTCGCAAACGAAGCGGTGCGTGCCCGTGTCTTTGCCCTCCGATGGGTCTGGGCAGCATCCAGAAGGCAGGATGAGATCACGAGAGCAGAGAGCACCAGTTTCATCCGCAATGATTGTGTCGCCTTGTTCAGTGTTCTGGCAAGTGTTACTGATGGAAGAGTCTAAGTGAAAGGTAGGAGATGGTTAATACAAGTCAAACAACCGCCAAGGACGAATGCAATGACCGGAAAAGGGGACTATATATGTCTGGTGGTGCCTTGTGCAAAAGCAATCAAAACTGACGAAGCAAAGTCAGTAAGGCAGGTGCTGTTGAGTAACACTTCAGCTTGCGCAAAACCGCTCATTGGAAAGTCCCGAAACCGCAGGACAGCTTATAGCAAGGTTTTCTTACCTGGGTAGACGATGAAAACAGACGCTTTTGTGTACAACAAAGTTGTGAGGGATCGTGGTCGCGGGACAACGTGCATAACGCACAATCGCCAGAAAAACGAAGCGGACGGTCCTAGAGGTCGTTAAGCAGAGGTGCAGAAGTGCACCGAATGCCAGATCGATTGGTAAGCAGTACAACAAAAGTCCCTGTGGTTTCAAGTAATATAGTGAAGATGACCGATCGGACAAGGCCTTGACAGAGCAACACGTAAATGGATTGAAAATAACGCAAACGCTGTTTTATACAGTAGTTCAGATAATTTTGCAAACACGATACATCTTGCAATATTGACAACTGCCGGTCCGTCCTGTTGACAGTTAGTGCAGGGAGTGCTATTGGACACACGATCGAACGTAGATCAATGGCACTCCTCAATTTTATGTGGAACTAGATGAATTACCTGATATGGTCCGAATGGGTATTACAAAGAGGGTACTTAGAGTTTCATTGAAAGTGATTCTTCCGTCGGCGGCATAATCTTGTTCTCGATAAATAAGGACTCTGTGAGTGAGGTGATAAGCAGGGTCGGAAGGCGAAATTGTTTTCCTTTGATGTCTTGTATTTTAATACACTGCAGTGTTTGACTAATTTTGCTTTCGTTCTGTGAAGTAACGATGATAATAAACATGTTGCTGCCTGTGAAATCTAATGAACATGTAACCGCCATGTACGGAACAGTCATAAATAACCCAATCATTTCGGTTTCTGCTAACATTCATTTTCACATACAGCCATCTGGCTTGTTTGGCTGTAGCTTAAATTCTGAATACTGGACGGCAAGAAGTGCAGTCTCACCATGCACTCAAGGGTTTGACCCAGTATTACAGTGATACCCATTTTCCTTTAACATATGCCGAGTTATGAATAGCAAAACCTAGTTGAAAAAGGTGGGTTGAATAACATGATGGTTTTGGTTTCCTACCATCAATTATGTCATCAACAACACATATTTTTATGGCTCCACGCTTAGCACGACTGATCGACCAGTGCAGGTTGCAACGCCCTGAGTGAATGTTTATCTTGCGTTTTTGGCCGTCTCAGAGAGAAATTCTGAAGGAATCTCCTCACACACAAAAATGATTGGGCTTAGCCATAACATATCTTAAATGCGTTTCCCCGGTTTGCAAATACTGTCTGCGATCAGCGTGAACCGGTTCCTAAAGCAATATAACGTATTACTGAAGAGGTAAAACTACACTTGAGGTTTCGGGTGACCGGCATTTGACCGAAATGTCTCACCGGAACTGGCAGGGGTCCACAAATCGGTCACTAAGCACCAGCCTATTCGGTCACTTGTGCGGGTTGGGTGTACGATTTCAGTAAGAGACGACTCGTGATTTGAGGTAAGTGGTGATGCTGATGAAGATAAGTATTTAATGATATCGTTAGACAAAGTGTATTATTCATTTTTTTCGTCTTTCATATTTCTGTGAATGATCGAAAGCACGCCCAAATGGGACGGATAGGCATCATGTGTAATGACAGGGCCCGGGAAACATTCAACCCTCCTATCCGGTATGGTTTACATATATTTCCACAACTGTCACGTTCATGAGCATTATCTGCATTCGATTATGAGTGTAGCCTCCTGTTAAAACGAGAAATATACCGTTTATACACCCATGAGGTCTGCTGATTGTCGTTGGGTGTGTTTATGAGCATCTTTAACGCCCAAAAGAAAAGCATTTTGCTCGAATAAGTCCCCAGTACGATAAATGACGCGTCTAGTATTTGAACACATGCGGCCGATTATTCAGTGTTCATTTTTGAACTGCGCCCACATCGTCTTGTTCCCATCGCCAGCGGGGATGAGGGAAGTAAGTTGTAGAACTAATTGAATTCAAAGGTTGAATTAAACAACTAGGTTCCGAGCAGATGTGTGATGAACCACAATGCTATCAAAACAATAATTAATAGAAAGGAAAAATTAGGAGAGAAATAAAAGGGCTTATGGATGGCAATATAGAATGAGGGAAGTGCGGAAGCCAGACTGGCAAGGTGGAAATGTTTACAACTGAAATCAATGGACTAAATGCCAGTGCAGTAGTCAAATTCAAGTCAATGGTGTGAAAGATCCCAAGAAAGCAACATCCACCAGTCATACCAGGATTGTTAATCAATTTATTTACAACACAGCCACGTCATCCACTAACCTCCCTATGGCGGCACTCAACTCGAAAGATACACAGTGATATGGGTGGTCGACAGGCATGTCGGCTAAACCAGGCATGTCAAACTGAGGGCCGTCCGAGTGACGCATGGTTTACGTTGTTATCATGAGAGCCGCATACAACAAGTGATCCTAATACATGGCTGGCCGAATTCCGTTTCGGATTTGCCTGTCATTGTGGCCAATCACAGGACGCCTGCGTCTACAGAGGAATCATGGACGGCTTGCGCTGCACCACCCATAGCTCCAAACACACCCCATATCCAGTGTAAACCCGAATGAATAAGACCAGGAGGCATGTGGATGGGAGCCACGTTACATCAACAGAGTCGGCCCACACTCCTTCACAGGCAAACACAAGCACGCTGTATTTGGGAATCAATGGCACACAAGGCGGTGGCTGAACCGTAGTCGACTCCACACTGAGAGCATGGAACCACTCTTCGAGCCTAACACGACCACAAGGACAGTGCACCCCTTCCCATCCAGCAACGATCAATTGTCTCCTGGAGCCAGTATGGACGAGGTAGTGGGTAACAGACAGGTAGGCACCTTGTCAACATGCACATCAAACGCAGCCACACCGGGGATATCAAGCAACAGCCCAGCACTTGAAACAGCGACATCAAATAAAGTAGATCGGATAATGCATAGAGATACGGTGTGGAACTAGATGAATTACCTGACATGGTCCGAATGGGTATTACAAAGAGGGTACTTAGAGTTTCATTGAAAGTGATTCTTCCGTTGGCGGCATAATCTTGTTCTCGATAAATAAGGGCTCTGTGAGTGAGGTGATAAGCAGGGTCGGAAGGCGAAATTGTTTTCCTTTGATGTCTTGTATTTTAATACACTGCAGTGTTTGACTAATTTTGCTTTCGTTCTGTGAAGTAACGATGATAATGAACACGTTGCTGCCTGTGAAATCTAATGAACATGTAACCGCCATGTACGGAACAGTCATAAATAACCCAATCATTTCGGTTTCTGCTAACATTCATTTTCACATACAGCCATCTGGCTTGTTTGGCTGTAGCTTAAATTCTGAATACTGGACGGCAAGAAGTGCAGTCTCACCATGCACTCAAGGGTTTGACCCAGTATTACAGTGATACCCATTTTCCTTTAACATATGCCGAGTTATGAATAGCAAAACCTAGTTGAAAAAGGTGGGTTGAATAACATGATGGTTTTGGTTTCCTACCATCAATTATGTCATCAACAACACATATTTTTATGGCTCCACGCTTAGCACGACTGATCGACCAGTGCAGGTTGCAACGCCCTGGGTGAATGTTTATCTTGCGTTTTTGGCCGTCTCAGAGAGAAATTCTGAAGGAATCTCCTCACACATAAAAATGTTTGGGCTTAGCCATAACATATCTTAAATGCGTTTCCCCGGTTTGCAAATACTGTCTGCGATCAGCGTGAACCGGTTCCTAAAGCAATATAACGTATTACTGAAGAGGTAAAACTACACTTGAGGTTTCGGGTGACCGGCATTTGACCGAAATGTCTCACCGGAACTGGCAGGGGTCCATAAATCGGTCACTAAGCACCAGCCTATTCGGTCACTTGTGCGGACTGGGTGTACGATTTCAGTAAGAGACGACTCGTGATTTGAGGTAAGTGGCGATGCTGATGAAGATAAGTATTTAATGATATCGTTAGACAAAGTGTATTATTCATTTTTTTGTCTTTCATATTTCTGTGAATGATCGAAAGCACGCCCAAATGGGACGGATAGGCATTCATGTGTACTGACAGGGCCCGGGAAACATTCAACCCTCCTATCCGGTATGGTTTACATATATTTCCACAACTGTCACGTTCATGAACATTATCTGCATTCGATTATGAGTGTAGCCTCCTGTTAAAACGAGAAATATACCGTTTATCCAACCATGAGGTCTGCTGATTGTCGTTGGGTGTGTTTATGAGCATCTTTAATGAACAAAAGAAAAGCATTTTGCTCGAATAAGTCCCCAGTACGATAAATGACGCGTCTAGTATTTGAACACATGCGGCCGATTATTCAGTGTTCATTTTTGAACTGCGCCCACATCGTCTTGTTCCCATCGCCAGCGGGGATGAGGGAAGTAAGTTGTAGAACTGAATGAATTCAAAGGTTGAATCAAACAACTAGGTTCCGAGCAGATGTGTGATGAACCACAATACTATCAAAACAATAATTGATAGAAAGGAAAAATTAGGAGAGAAATAAAAGGGCTTATGGATGGTAATATAGAATGAGGGAAGTGCGGAAGCCAGACTGGCAAGGTGGAAATGTTTACAACTGAAATCAATGGACTAAATACCAGTGCAGTAGTCAAATTCAAGTCAATGGTGTGAAAGATCCCAAGAAAGCAACATCCACCAGTCATACCAGGATGGTTAATCAATTTATTTACAACACTTAGCCACGTCATCCCCTAACCTCCCTATGGCGGCACTCAACTCGAAAGATACACAGTGATATGGGTGGTCGACAGGCATGTCGGAAACCAGGCATGTCAAACTGAGGGCCGTCCGAGTGACGCATGGTTTACGTTGTTGTCATGAGAGCCGTATACAACAAGTAAGTGATCCTAATACATGGCTGGCCGAATTCCGTTTCGGATTTGCCTGTCATTGTGGCCAGCAACAGGACGCCTGCGTCTACAGAGGAATCATGGACGGCTTACGCTGCACCACCCACAGCTCCAACCACACCCCATATCCAGTGTAAACCCGAATGAATAAGACCAGGAGGCATGTGGATGGGAGCCAAGTTACATCAACAGAGTCGGCCCACACTCCTTCACAGGCAAACACAAGCACGCTGTATTTGGGAATCAATGGCACACAAGGCGGTGGCTGAACCGTAG